TACTAAGTAGTTCCAGCGTTGACCGCTCGATAGCGCCGCTTACCCGCGCTAGAAAAAATCAGTCCGGGAACTTTCCGGACAAACTGTGTATACGTCTTACAATCGGTTTCATCACGGCGCGGAGAGTAGCGGAGAGAGAGAGAGAGAGAGTCGCGCGCGAGGTTGTGCATTCTCACCTCTTCTCTTGCGCGAGAGATCGAGGCGAGAACGCGTGGCTTAGGCGACCGCCACCGCTCGAGATATGAATTTCGCGGGGTTGATCGTGACGAGAGTTGCGGTCGAGGAGTATTGTCCAGACGCGGATTGCATCGCCGCTGCTACATCCGAGTGATATAAATTTCGCTGATGCTGCGGGCACACAGCGCGGCGGTCGTCGCGGATCGATGAGCGCAATGAGCGCCACAATCGGTTTCCCGAGTCCAATTCCGCGTTAGAGAAAATATTCTATTCCACAACACAGACCAATGTATATATGTTCAATTTTATACACAAAGGGCATCAATAATTGAATAATTTCGAGAAGCATTGTTGTAGTTTTGTTTTTGTATTATGCGCCTTAATAATTTTATATTTTTTATTAATTTTATTAGACGCGCAAGAGTATATTACGCATATCCACGCGCGTCCCAGCAGTTCGGAGTTTTGTTCGTTTCTTGAAAAAGAATATTTTTTTAAACATATCGACGAGAGGATTTTTAATAGTCTGTCCCGACGATGCTGCGCGTCCCAATTCAAAAGAAACGTGGAAGAAACCGCAAGAAATCCGGTGCACGACACAATGGTAGGTGGATGCGTCGAGCTCGAAGATTTACAAAGTGTCCGACAGCTTACTTTTTGTTGAACCAACCGTTCTCTCTCACGGGGAGACAAAAAAAAGCGTTTAAATGTCGCTAGTAGTGATCGCTGTGTCTAAAAGTTGACTGTCTGTATCGAAACAGGACGGGCGAATTCCCGGTAGGTTCCTATCCGGCTGGCAGGACGGAAAATTATATGTATTCACGAAGAATGATTTCGGACGATGAATAATGGATAAGTTCTGTCGCGTGTCCACCGTCATTATGTGGCTAGCGGGTTCTGCGCTCGCAAGAGAGAGAGAGAGAGAGAGAGAGAGAGCAGAGAGATGCCATCACCAACGTTACCGCGTCGCCGTCGCCGTCGCCGTCGTCGTCGTCGTCGTCATCGTGAATCTCGTCATTGAATTTCTGCCCTATATACATATACATACTGTATACCATTCTACGTAATTCGCGTGTCGAGAAGTATCGTGCGAACTGAGAAGCCTCGAGAGCCAAGTTAAACGGCTATAAATTATCGCTGCAATAAGAAATCTCTTCGCTGATCTCCTTTCAGGAACTACGTAATAACGATGCATGTCACTTTTACGTGACGCGCGCCTGGTAATCGGAAAATTATAACCAAGCGCTGCGCGCAATTCCGCGCGTTTTCTACAAAAATTGATCGTTATATAAAACGAGATGGCGCAATCGAAAAATTTACAAATTTTCACAAAAAATTCGACAAGACACGTCACACAAGCGTGAGGAAAAAAACGATTCTTAAAAAATTTAAAATCAAATATTTGAAATCAAATCCGCACAAAAAAGCGACACTTAATTATTATTGATCAACTTGTGGAGATAGATTCTCTTTCTGTTCGGCGGCATTGTCGGAGATCTGACGACGAACCCGGTGTGGTAGCGAAGCGGTATGGTATATCGTGGTCCACATGGGCGGATGGACGGACATCGGTAGTGGGATGCTGCGCGCGGATAATGCTTGGTCCACGCTCACCAAGTTCTTTCTTTTCTCTCTTTCTCTTGTTCTCTCTCTCTCTCTCTCTCTCTTATTGCAATCTCTCCGTTTTCATGTATCCTTCTTTATCTTCCGTCATTTTATTCCGTCCCGTTCTGCCGTTCTTCGTCTTCTTGCTTACGTTACGTCGTCTCTCTCGCTCCACCTTTTGCCTTCTGCCTTCCTCTCGCTTTCTCTCTCTTTCTTTCTCTTTCTCTCTCTCTCTCTCTCTCTCTCTCTCTCTCTCTCTCTCTCGTCGCGGAGGACCTGCTCATTCGAGGGCTCCGGAGTTAGCCGGCGGGCATTATGGTGGCTACTCCGTTGGCTTCTCGCGTCTCTCGAAAGCTCACAAGAGAGTGTGCTCCCCCCGAGGGTCAAGGAACTCCCTCGGGAACAGGTTCACCTCCTTCTCCGCCCTTCTCCACCCCTCCTCTTGCTGCACTCTCGCCCCTCTTGCCGCACCGTGTTGCGCACCGCCGCCAACCCGCCCTATGCCCCCTCCGGTTCGTACCTTAGGGTTTTACTTATTTTCTCTTATTACCGCCGTGGGCATGTAGGCACGTTTCACGCACACACACGCGCAAGTCCGGCCTCGTACGTACACGGGATACCGTCCACCTCGAGGTCCACCGAAGCTCCCTTCCCTCCTTCCTCGCCTCAGCTCGTACTCAGCGCCGTTCGCCGTGCTCCTCTTGCCCATCTACCACCTCCCCCCGCCGCTCGGAGCTCCTCTCAGGTACTCCAATATGTGAGCATATTATTACAGAGACGCAGGGGGAGAGCGAGGAAACGACGCGGGAGTCTCGCGGAGCCTCTCTTCGCGAGGGAGCAAAGACGAAGCGAAACGCACACGCGTTCTCCCGGTGGATGAGGAAAACGCACGAGCGAGCGTACACGCAAGGGTGTTTAGGTGCGGTTTCCTTTCCTCGCGCGACCCCTCCGCGCATCCACCTCTTCCTCGCTTCCCCATCCCCCCGAAATGTCCTGGCTGCACTCTCTGAGAGTGCAGATACCAGATTCCACCTGTGCTGCTTGATACGCTGCCGTTGCTGCCGTGCTCATCCTCGTCGTCTCTTCCATGTCTTCTCCGTGTCGTGAGATCGTTTCGAATTTGCCGGATAGCTCGTCTTTCCCTTTTTTTTTTTTTTTTTAACTTTCTCTCTCTCTCTTCTCTTTCTTTCTTTTAAAGTCCGCGACCGGCCCGGAAGATTATGGCCGCGCGAACGAGAAAATGTGTAGATTTTCGGTACCGCGGTACGTGTGAATCGACGATCGAAGAAATGCGAGGGCTTGTAATAAGGGCATTTAACCTGCGGTCCTCGCACCTCGCTTTATTCCCGCGTTTCTCGCACGTTTCGACTCGCACGTCCCGCCTTTCGTCCCGTCCGTTCGTTAAGAAATTGCCTACCGGTATTTTCGCATTCGGCGGCTCTCTTCCTCGTCTCGTTTCTTCCTGCGCGAGATCGTTCCGAATTAGCCGGGATACCTCGCGCATTTTTTAACAACCCGGGTCTCTAAATGGTACCGGACGGGGGTATTATACGGGCTCTCCCGGAACGCGGCGATCGTGAATATTCTGATGGCGCGGAGAATTTCATCGCCGTGGCGAAAAATGAAAGAATCATAAAGTTGCCTTTGCGCGACCCGGCTTTCCTCTTTATCAGATTTTGCCGGATTTTTTCGCCAGACATTTCGGTTTATCAGAATCGTTTGTTAAGCAAACGAACGTTTGCGTATACGCGTTTATTATTTACGGTATTTGCGTAAATCTCGGAAACTTCGAGAAAATGT